AAGATATATAAACACCATACAAAAACACAAAAACATGATAACAAACTCCATTATATTGATCAAAATTATTCAAATCTAGAAACATTTAAAAGAACAAAAAAAGATTAAACTATTGAATTCCCAAAGGAAAAGAAAACATGTACAATATGAAAAACAACAAATGGACTTTCAAGGTAAACAAATGCATCTGTACTCTTTCCATCATTACATCAAACATGCCCTTCAATAGCCACTCCATTTTTCTTTCCAACATTTCAACCTGCAAATCCAAATTCTACAAGGAAACAAATAGGCTCAATGGAAAGTTATACAATCATTAATGGTGGTATTTTCATTGACACAATCATTAATGGAGGTATTTTCATTGACTTCAAAATTGAATTGATCATCAGGAAACTGAAAATGATTAGATTATAGTGGACAATCCACATGACATTTGTAAGATTCCAATCAAACCAATAATCCAAATGAAGACAACCAAAAAATTGTCCCATGGATGTTAGGAACTGCAAGGCCTGTCCAACTATATGTGTTACTTTGGATGTATAGCTACAGTACTATCACATTTGTTTAGTTAAAAAATACAACACAACTCTTCATTCTTATATAAATTATTGGAATAAAGAAATACATGATGCAAACTCAGACTAATTACATATAGACATATGCAATATCTTACCAAAAATCGACTGTTTGACTGAAAAAGCCAACGATATTGCAACAAATGAACATAATTTCAGCTGTGATTTTCAAGCCGCACAACAAACTACATACAATTTCAACATAGAAAACTCGATTTTCAGAGGAAAAACAAACCATATCAGAAGAAATCGAAAAGATCAAAACAGCCATAATATCTCGAACTCAATTTTCACAGGAAGAAAAAGAAAATAGCATCCGATAATCGATTTTCAGAGGGAGGAGGAAATTAACAATCGAAAATACAAGCAAAACATTCCAGAAAATAGTCTCCAACTCTTATTATCGAGTTTTGAGGAAAAAATGAAGAAACTCTCACCTGGAACTAGAAAACTTATTACTTTGAAGAAGGGAGCCGACAATAGAGGATGTAGCGTAGTTGGAGGAGTTGTCGCTGGCGAAGTAGCTGGTGGAGGGAGGCAGCTCGGAGAGGGTGAAAGGGAGAAGTGGTCGTTGGTCTTGTGGAGGTGAAGGAAGATAACAATCGTTCAAATTTTAGGACACAAAGGGAAAGACGCATTATTTTTAAAGTTAAGGCATGGTTTCACATCTAAAAGCTTAAGAGGTATTTAGAAAATTAAAAGGTAAAAAGTAAGATGCTAACAAACAAGCTGAATCTTAATTTTTAAGAGTTTGCCTCTTAATTTTCCAATTAAGAGGTAAACAAACAACCCCCTAAATCAAATGAGACTAAAATTCAAAATTTTAGTACAACACAAAAAGATAGAGCAAGATGGAACAAACAATTTTTAGACTAAAATACCCTTAAACATGTCTACATATTTATCAAATCATTTTTATTATCTTCAAACCCTTCTAAATATTTACTAAATCATAACTATTTTTTATTCCCATTCACTATATGAACGTTATAATAGTTTTTAAGAACATTAAATAACGTGAAATAAAATAGAAACTATACAAAAATCATCCGAACATTAATTAAGGATTTTGAATCACTTTTATGAGAAAATTCATCAAATAACCAAAAGTAGGGGTTGTTTGTAGAAAATAACCATGAAAAACACAATTTCATTAAATAACCACGACTTCCGCAGAGGGGGGCTCTGCGGAAGTCCTATCGCTCTGAGGAATCAACTTCGTCGGGAAAAAGACAAAAAAAGTGATTTTACACCGTTCCACAGAGAGGTGCTCTGCAGAAATAACCATGCCTCTGCAGAACCCATGTATGTTCTCTGAGAAAATGATAGTTGAAGGCATTAATTTTTTTCCGACATTTCCATAGAGCAGGTCTCTGCGGAACGATGGACACCTCTGAGGAATGATTACTCTTCTGCGGAAATGGTTGTTGGAGCGGTTTTGAACTATTAATGACTTTTTTTTGTTTTTTAATGGAATTATCGGTATTTTAACATTTTTAGTGACTAGAAACTTTTTTTTTTCGTTTTTGTGAATGTTTTAATCACTAGAACTCGTTTTTTCATTATCTATGCGGAGAGTGTTTCGAAAGAATGAGTTTTATTATTTTGTGTACGGATGGGTTGGGACAGTTGATTAATGAAAATGAGGTTTACGTTAGAAATAATGTTAAAAACTTTGGTTTAAATCTTCCTCCTAACTGTGACCATCAGATGTTATTACAAATGGTTAGAAATAAAGCATGTGTGTTCAATAGTCATATATCTTTGTCTTTTAAACACCCGGACTGTGGGTATGTCATGGAGCTTGCAGATGAATCAGATGTATTTCACCTGAGATATGTAATGTCTGAAACAAAGCAGACAATGCATTTGTATTTATCGGTGGTTGGTGAAGAAGTTGATGAACAGCCAGTGGTGAAGTTTCAGAATAACGAGTTTATTGGAGCAAAAAGTAGTAGATATTGTGGAGAAAGACAATCCGATGGAATCCATTCAAACAAAGCTTAGTTTAATTGCTTCGAGACTCCAGTTTCTTCGTTTTTTTTAACCTTTTCTTGCACAGAAAAAAAAAACTTAGAACACATAAAATTGTAATTGCAATATAAAAATATACAAAGTCAATAAAGAAATGACCTAAAAGATACCACAAAAAAATTGTGCCATTAAAAGTGTAAATTTGTAATAAGTTTTGTCTGGAATAATGTATTGTTTTTCTTTTAAATTTATGAGAACTTGCCTTGCTTTTTTATTTTTTTTATTTTTTGTATTATGTTTTATTGAACATTTCTAAACTGCAATGCATTTTAGGAATTAAATGATAAAATTCTATAAAAAATGGAAAACTTATACAAAATCCATTAAATTTTATATAGTATAATAATTCATACTATATAAATGTTGAAAGCAAGCTCAGTCTCTGTTTATATACAAATTAAGACCGTAAATAACGAAATTGTAATCTTTATGGAGTTTGACGATATATCAATGTACTTTGAAAGAAGGATTTGAATGAAGAACAATTCCTTTAAATGACGAAATTGGTCCCTATTTTAAATTTTTTTTACAGAAATTGTCCCTCTTTCAAAGTACATTGCTATATCGTTTAAAGGAATTTGAAATATTTATGTAATAATTTGGAAGGACGGAATTTCAGTTTTTTTTTTTTTCAATTTTTTTAATTTTTTTAATTTTTAATTTTTAATTTTGACATACTCAGTAATTGTAATGTGCATTCAGAAATGGACCAAATCGTATAAAAAAACCACCTTTTAAAAAACAAAAATTGAATTCCGCAGAGGGCTATATGGTTCTGCAGAAAGGCCCTCTGCGGAACTGTTCTTCATCCAAACAGTTCTGAGGAACTGTTCTTCAGTTAGCCATATTGGATTTTCTAACTGATTTCTTGTCAATTTAACTATGATACACCATTACGAACACCTAATTGATTCAATACAACAATTGTAACTCTAAAACTATGTTTATTTTGCCGATTGATAAGCTAGAGTTTCATACAATTTCAAAAGGAAGATGATAACTTACATGAGTTCCATAACCATCTGATAACACATTGTCGTCTATTTCTTGCAGTTTCCGCGATCGCCTCACCATCGATTTCCAGCTATCGTTCGTATTTCTTCGATCGATCGATTCTTCAGTCTCGTCTTTGTTTCACAGTTAGACTCCCCCAAATGGCCAAACAAGTTTTTTTTCCATAGCCCTAACTCAGAAACCGGGTGATTTTACGAAATTAGCCCTGCCACCTCATTTCCTCAGTGATTTTACGACTTCCGCAGAGACCTGCGGAAGTCGTGGTCATTTTATAAAATCATCTTTTTCATGGTTATTTGCTACAAACCACCCTCTTCTTTTGGTTATTTGATGAATTTTCTCCACTTTTTTTGCAAAATAAATAGTATGTTAAATGAAGAGTCCCCATGTCAGACCCACATTCATACGCTTCATTGTGCTGCTTTAAGTTGTTGCTTTCGTTGTACTATATTAAATGGCTCCTCAAATTTGGATTAGTAGTGGATTTTCTTGGTAAGTATTGTCTTTTACGTGAATTAAGAAAAAAGGTATTTGTTTTTAACTAATTATATGGTTTTGTTTATGTTTGTTATTTTTAGCAAGTACAATCTAGTATTTTAACCTTTTGTTCTGTTATGTTCTAGTTTTACCAAACATTACACATATATAATTGGTTCTGTTAAGTCCACTCCTACCCAGTTCTATTTTATCTAGTCCATGCACCAAACACTACCATTTTTCAGTGGTGGAATTGGACAAGTTTATATCGTTTTCAGAGGTGAGGGACTCCAATGTGTGTTGATGGTGGCTACTATGCTACGTAAATTCCCAAATAATCATATACCGAGGTCTAAGGAGTAGTAATGGTTCATCAAAGGTGCCTTTTAGCAGGTGAATAAATTGAACCGGTTCTTTTTCCTAATTATTTGTGTATAAATGTTTACGAACTAGATTATTTCTGACATATGCATTCGTTACTCTAATTTAACATTTGTAGGTTGAAGTTCAAGTTAGGAAGATTCATTGCATAAACAAGGCTCCACGTGTGCACAACTGTCTTTAGATATTGCTTTTAATGAATATGTTAGATATTGGTTTTAATGGTTATTTTGAGTATGATAAACTCAAAGAAATGACTTTTTTTCATGACATGAATTCAGATGGATAATTAATGCATTCAAAAATGTATTACACTCGTGATTTGTTGATTCAAAGCTAGCAATTTTGGAATTATGAGATCAACAACAACGCCTTGGTTTGTTAGTTTCAAAAATTTAACTTAAAAATGGATTAAAATTACTCTGAATTTCTAATATCGAATTTCAGTTTTCCCTTCTTTTTATGGGATGGATAATGGATTTTAAACTTACTTAGATGGATCTGATAAGTGCAATGATGCTATACAAATCCTGGTTAGCTCATATTGTCAATCTTATGTGTTCATTACAAAGACATGATACATCTATCTCATATCATATTCTATTTGTGGTCCTTAAAGGGAAGTAAGGTTAGATACGGTGTACCATTTATTCATCTCGATTAGACATATTGGTTTTAAATATTCACATGGTTAGATGATTCTTGAATGCTTGGGTCCTTGAAAAATGACTAATGAGGTTGATTTTAATGTAATATTTTCTTGACCTGATATGACCAATGAGGCTAACCTCCATTTCAGGGATGAAATTGTTTATGATTCGATAGAAATGCCTTCTTTAAGACGAAAAGGTAATTAATCTGATAATAGATGTATGACCCGTGTTTTTCTGTCTAAACGAACGTGTGTAATTGTTATAAACTCTACTGTATAGTCATTGATTGGTATTTTACTTGACGGTTACAACCATATTATGTGGTTTCCATAAAACGTTGCATTGATTTGATTGATTTTAATTCTTAACAACTTGCATAATTATGTTTCATATTTAAATCTAGAAGCATCTATGTTTTGCAAATCTATAGCTTTCTTTCAAATGGAGTTGTTGACTGGGGGAGTAATATACAATGTCATTATTAGTTACTTTACCATGAAGCCCATGGTGGTAGGCCATCAAAAATAATGTTGCACCTGCTAAGGACCTTTCAATTATTGATAATATATTGATGGTGTTCAATAATTTTGAAACATGCCTCTCTCTATATATGTATACTTGTGGTTCCTTTAGCAAACAAAAATAACAAAAATACTTGATTCTCAGAAGGGTAGAGGGTATGAATCATTTCAATCTCTTCCACACCATATCAACCATCGATCAAATATTTTTACCATTGGTCAACTACCTTTCTTATTCCTTCCATCTTAGCAAAATGTACAAATACTAAAGCAAAAACTTGTTATTTTGGAATTACCAAAATAGGCCTATAATGAATTTATGATATTATGATTGTAAAAAAACGTCAAAAACCTAATAAATTAATAGTAACAAAAACCTATGGTCGGAGTCGGACTGGATCTGTGTGGTGTGGGCCGTAAAGTTAAAATAGAACCCGACCTGGTATTTTATTTTATTTTATTTATTTTTTTGAAACTGATTTGCGAAGGTATTTTTATTTTGTAGCTTCAAATCAGGTCAGAGGGGGGTACGATGATTCTGTAGCTTCAGAAGTTTGCCGCCAATTTGATCAACACATCGTAAGCTCTTTCACGCACTCTCCCACCTGATTTCGTACAACTGATTATCGCTTCCAGATGATCGTAGTGATCAATGATATCATATGGTATTCAGATGCTAAAATAGGACCTAAAATTGATTCACGAAATACATTTGGGTTTGAAATTATAATCGCATTTAGTTTGTGCCTTTTATTATTTTAAAATTGCAGAATGAAATTTTGTCTCCGGAAATCTGACATAATCGCTTATAGTCAATAGGTTAACATCTAAAATGATCAATCGCATGAATTCTGTTGAATGTGTAATGCATTCCGTTATATATTACACTCATGATTTGTGGAATGTAAGCTAGTAGTTTTCTTAGTACAAAATCAATATTAGTGCCTTAGTTAACTTTAAAACCGATTAGAGCGATTGTGTTAGTTGAAAGTTATTGATATGCACATAAAACTGAAAGATTAAGCAATTTGGCAAGCAAAAGTCATGACTTAGGAGAGGTTAATGTTTTTGTTTTGCTTTTTGCAAAGCATATCTCATTTTGTTGCTTGTAGTTTATTGCCATAACAAATCATGTTACAAAATTTACCTTAACAGTTTTAGTATTTTAGTGGATGTGGAATGTTTTTGTTAAAGGCTGATGATTGTAATGGAAATGTAACACCCAAATTTCAAAGCAACTTAGTAACTCAAAATCAACTTTAAAACCATGGTGGAACCATTAATTCTACTTCATGTTGTCACATAACTCATAACTGATATTAAACTAATATGTTATCACATAACATATGCCTCCTGTTGAAGTTTTGAGCTTAAAATAGGCTAACACTTTTGAACTTAGAAATTGAAAATACTGTTTTAGATGTTGGAAAAAGATCTTAGATCGTACTATAGAACAGTAGTTCACATGAAGAATAATAAATGTTCTATTTGTGGTCCTTCCAAGGTGATGAGATTAGATATGGCATGCTATTTCCGTATCTCCTTATCTTGATTAGACATATTAGTCTTGAATATATGGTGTATTCAATGTTTAGAAGATTCCTGAAAGCTTGAGGTCCTTGAGAAATGACTAATGAGGTTGATTAATGTAATCTTTTTTTGGCCTTATATGATCAAGGAGGCTAACCTCCATTTCAGGGACGAAATCGTTTCTGATTTGATGCTTCAATGCCTTCCTTCATACAAACAGGTAAGCTGATAGATGTATGAGTTGTGTTTTTCTATTGAAAGTAATGTGCGTAATTGTTAAAAACTCTATCGTATAGTCATTGTTTAGTATCGTATGGTCAATATCATTTCCTTGATAATCACAATCATATCAATGTGATTTCTTGAAAACATTGCATTGATTTGATTTATTTTCTTGAAAACTTGCACAATGCTTCATATTTTAAAGCTAGAAACCTAGAAACATCTATGTTTTGCAACATTAATTTAGTAATTTACCTATAGCTTTCTTTCCAATGTAGTTGTTGAGTAGGGGAGTATCATATAATGTCATTATAAACACTTTACCATGAAGCCCATGATGGTAGGCCATCACTCATAATGTTATATGCATCTACCAACGACTAAGGACCTTTCAACATGTTGACAAATCTCAATTATTGATAATAGTGATGGAGCTCAATAATTTTGAAACATGCCTTTATGTATCTACTCTTGTGATTCTTGTAGCAAATGTGAATTCTTCTTTGTAGCTCCCTTAGCAAGAAAATTTTGCCAAATAGTTGGATGTAATATTCCATTTCAGTTTGTATTTTGCTAGCATTTTTCCATTATTGGGTTGGGTGGGTGGGTGGGTAATGAGCCAAAATGGGTCAAATTTCCGGATGGTTCATGATATGTTGGGTCGACCCGGCCATCACCTTTTTTGGTCATTTTAGTTGGAAGTTGTAAAAGTTAATATATTGAACATGAGGGGTAATCACTAAGATGACAAAAATGGAGGCTTTAGAACACAAAATGACCATATTTTGGGAAACTATCACAAAATAACCACCTATTTCGTAAAATGGGTTTTATGAAATTACTTTAATTTGTAAAATTACTTTATGAATGGTCCCCATTTGCTATTTATTTTGCAAAATAATAGGTATTTTTTTTTAAATATTAATAATTTCTCAAAGTTTTATTGTGAAATTGCTCATATTTTGATTTTTTTTCATATTTTCACAAAATATTAATAATTTCGTAATATAATTGGATATTTTTTTTTGTTGAAAATGACCAGAAAAGTAATTAGCTAATTTTGTATAACTCATTCTGAGAAATGGGTGGTTATTTTTGATAGTCTCCTAAACAAATGATCATGTGCTTTTCTAACACCTCCCTTTTTTGTCACGTTCGTGATTACCTCTAATTATGATTACAGTAACTATTATCAACATAAGCATCCAACTTCTATAACAAAACAATATTGAATGTTGTAAAGTTTACAACATCCAACATTGTTTTGTTATAGAAGTTGGATGCTTATGTTAATAATAGTTACTGTATGGGTTATAATATCTGTGTTGTGATAGTAAAATCACATTAGAAGCTAAATGTTAACAATTATTCCCACCATGCTCTTCTAACAATCCAAAATAGATAGGTGATTAAAAGTAAGTATGAAGATTTGGTTAAGAGAGGAAGCAAATATTTATCTTCTTTATTAAAGCTCTCTTTATTGTTACATACATATAGGCACAATGATAATAAGTAAAGATGCATCTGTATATATATATATATATATATATATATATATATATATATATATATATATTATAATATATATATATATATATATACAATACAAATGTGATATACAGAAAGTATTAAATACATGTAGCTAAGCCCTGTAAAAAAGTAGGGCATGCAGTATGCACTAGACATTATTAACTGTCAAATTTCTTTCTTGAATCTAGCTTGAAGCCCGTGTTCTGGAATTGGAAATGGACTATACTGTATAAAGTTTGTTGAACCCACCAATTCCCATCTGTTATTTAACATAACATGGTCAAATTACCAAAATACCCTCCATAATTATTCAACATATTAACATCATCATATATAATATATACCTATACTTTGTAAGCATGTGGTGAAGTAAAACAAGCATCTCAACTTTTGCAAGTTCATTTCCTGGACATGCATGTATTCCATTGCCAAATGGCATGTATGTATTAGGTTTTGGAGGATTCTGCAAAAACAGAAATAAAGAGATTAAATAAAACTCCTAAAAATCATTATCAACTTTTGTGTAAATGGTTTAATCAACAGGGACTGAAACTGTAACTTTGGGCAGGTGTTGCATTCCATACCTCAAATCTAAAGGGATCAAATATTCCAGGATCCGTGAAAAATTCAGGATTGTGATGAATGTTCCGGAACAACGGCATCACTTTCCAACCTTTTGGGATAAGATATCCTGTTTGTTTATTTACAATTAGTTACATCATCACACATTAATTAATTAAAATCACTTGCTAAATATGTCTAATCTTTAAATTTGAAAAATAATCTTTTTTTCACTCACCTTCGTATTCAACATCAACTGTCGCCTCCCTAAAAGTAAAAGATATAATACTTGCCTTCCTCAGAGTCTCTAGTATTACCTGAAATTGATTACCATTAATTAAGATTTAACTTATATACTATACAAATTAAAATGAAAATCCAAGTTTTATAACTCCATACTCTATATGTTAGAGGCATTTGTCTTGTCTTTGACCAAGTCAACCCCCGTTCCTCTCCATTTTCAGATTCACATAGTGCCTTCTGCTCTGCCTGCCATTATGTATTCCACCAGTAGAAATTCTTCAGTAAGTTCATTCTCATTCTATAAAACAGAGTTATAAATATCTGTTAAAATTATTGAAAAAGTACATTGCTATAATCAGATAAATCTCACCTTAACAAAATCTAGAAGTTTTGGATCATCGTGAAGATATTTGAGTATCCATGTTAGGACACTAGCAGTTGTATCTTGAGCTGCAAAAAGTACCCCGATAATATTATCTGCTATTTGTTCATCACTTAATGTATTTCCCATTTCGTCCCTGAAGTTCAAGAGTTGTCCCAAGAGATTGCTTGCTACCCATTTCTTCTCCTTCCTTTCTTGGACAATCTCACCAATAATCCGATTCAGTCTTCTTCTTGCCTTCACATTTTCACATCAATCAATAAAATAATAATTTATATAACACATGAAAAATCATAAAATTCTTTTCTTATTTTTATTTATCATATTTACCATTAAAGCTTTATGATATGCGGTTCCTGGAAGGCTTGTTGGGAAACAATTGTAACCTTTTTCTAATATGCTATAATTCTCCTTCAACTCTTGTGTATATTTCTTCTCCAACTGACCAAAGATTGACAAAACTCCTACCTCAAAAGCAAACTGTAGAGAATATATAAAATTATAAATACTTATATATATGTAATTAAAAATGATATACTCATATACGTACCTTTTTCATCTGGAGGAAGGTGTTAATGACTTGACCGTTTGACCATGATTCAAGGCTAGAAATGGCGATATTTTCAATATCCTTGATCAACTTTCTAGATGCTTCTGGAGAAAATGAGGTTTGAACTAACTTTCTCATGCGAGCATGATAATTCCCCTGATGAAAAAACAGGGCTGAAGGTCCGATTAAGTTTTCTTTACTTTTTGGGTATGTGGGTTTGAATAAGTGAGGGTGAGTCACTAGCACAAAACGAGCTGCTTCAGGGCTTGCTAGCATGACACAAGGGTACCCAAGTATTCGGGTTTTGAATATATCTCCATACCTGATCATGGGAAATCAAACAACATTATATATCATATTTTTTATTTATTTCTGCATGCGTACGTGTGATATATATATGCATGTGATATATGATATATGATATACGAAACCTTTTCTGCTTTGAGGCGAAAAATATATTGGGGTCTTGTGAATACATTTGGAGAGTTTCACCAATGCAAGGCCACCCCATTGAACCTGGAGGAAGCCTGGCTGTTTGCTTGTGCCTCCTTTTATCTTTTTTGAATAAACAGTATGATAAAAGAGAAGCTAGAAACATAATTAAATAAAAAATAGTAGTGAAAAGCTTCATTAATATTTAATACACCTCTCTATCTCTCTCTCTCTGATTTTGTTTGGTTTATTGGGTTAATGAAGGGAGAATATCGGATGTAGGATGCTTGGTGTTGCTGGAGAAGAAGAGCCTTTTAGTGGGAGGGCAAAAGGGTGATGGGGTTTATATAGAGGCAGATCAACCAAAAAGAGGTAAATTCCAGATATATTTTACGTATTTTCCATGCCACTCGTTTTTTTAATATCCAAACTATCATATATATACACGTTACCTTTTTATATACGGACCCAATAGTAAGGTCAACTATCCTCTCTAAATTCAACTTATTTTTTAGTTCAAAATCCATATTGACTTTTTGTCTTTTCCTCAAAAGTATATAGTATATACCGTTAGTGTATAAAAATCGGCAACTCCACACCACCTTTCATTCAAAAATTATGTTCTCTCGTCCACATGTGTAATCATTAACAACAACCTGATTTCAGTTTTATAATACGTCCTTCACAACCCAAGCCTTTTATTCAACAAATTATTTTTAACAATTAATCTTTATACTATTTAAGATAATAACAAATATATTGAAACTATTTCATTTCAAAACAAACTAATTAAACCGCTCATTTTAAACATAAAAATAAATATAAAATTATGGACATAAAATTATATTTATTTTTATGTTTCTTTTAAAATTTTATCTTTCTTTTAGGGGTGAGCGCGGTGCGTTTCGATGCGATAATTTTTGCGGTGCGGTGCGGTTTTTTTTTTTTTTTTTTTTTTTGAGTTTCGGTTATTAACCGCATAGATTTGATGTGGTTATTTGTGTGGTTTTTAACCGCAATTTAGAATTCAAACGATTTTAAGAGTTCAAACATTTTCTAAAATTAAACATAACAGAAACCAACACTTTTGTCTTCTAAAATTTTATCTTGCTTTCATCCATGAAACTTATTTTATTTTTAATATTTAATATATATTAATAATTAATAAAAAAAATTGTATATAATATATGCGGTGTGGTGCGGTTTTTGAAAACTAAAAACCGCACCGCACAACAAATGTGCGGTTTTTGTAAAACAGAAAACCTCACCATTGGTTTTTATTGCGGTTGCGGTTTATCGGTTGCGGTTTTTGTTGTTAATTTTAGTTGCGATGCGGTTGTACTCACACACACACAATTGACTTTAATGATTTTTTAAACCATAGAATCAAGAAACCAATGTTGGCGGTAGAGAGAAAAAGATTAATAAGGGCCAAAAGAAGGATTGTACATTTAGATGTTGAAGACACATGCATCAGATTATAACAAAAGAAACGTGTTTTAAAAAAAAAAAATTAGTTCATATTTTT